TAGCCCCTTTCCTCCCCCCTTCCGCCCCCAACCCCAAAACCTCCCTTCCTTCCCCTTCCCTTCCCTCTCCCCGTCCTCACCACCAGCCCGGGCAGTAACCGTTGCCCCCTTCTCAATCAACAGCGTACACAACGCCCCACTCCCCCGCAACGCCGCCACCTGCAACGCCGTGCCATACTTCCCCGCCACAAGGTTGGGGTCGGCGCCGGCCTCGAGCAGCAGGCGAGCGTTGCGGTCGCAGCGGGAGAGGATCGCTGTTTGGAGGGGCGTTCCTGTTCCCGTGTCGGTGTCGGTGTCGGTACCCTTGTTGGGGGTGTTGGGGTTGGTTGTGTTGGTGGGGGTGGTGTTGGCGGCGATGACATCCAGGTCCGGGTTCAGCGCGAGGATCTGGCGCAGGCCGCCGTCGTCGTGGTGGGCGGCAGCGGCGTGGAGGGCCGTGGTGTGCAGGCCGCCCTGGGCGTTGACGTCGTCGCTGCTGCTGCTGCCGTGGCGGGCTTCGAGGATGGCCTTGACGGTGTCGGAGTCGCCCGAGGCCGCCGCCGCTTGGAGCACGGTGTGGTAGGGCCCGCCGCGCAGGCGGGGGTCGGCGCCGCGCCGGAGGAGCAGTCGGCAGGTGGCGGCGTGGCCGTTGGAGGCGGCGGCGTGGAGGGGTGTGCCGTGGTGGGCGCCGCCGAGGTTGACGTGCGCGCCGTGGTTGAGGAGGGTCTCGACGCAGGCGTCGTCGCCGACGAGGGCGGACATGATGAGGGGCGTGTCTTGGTCGGGGTCGGGTTGGTCGACGTGCGCGCCGTAGCGGATGAGCAGGTCGAGGTGTTTGGCGGGGAGGGTGCAGGCCGCGTTGATGAGCGGGGTGCTGCCGTCGGTGCCGCCAGGGGCGTTGGGGTCGGCGTCGTGTTGGAGGAGCAGTTCGACGGCGTCGCCGTAGCCGTTGCTGGTTGCTGCGATTAGGGGGTTGGTAAAGTCGCCGGCGCCGTATCGGGGGTCTGCGCCGCGGGCGAGCAGGATCTTGGCCACGTCGGTGTTGCCCGCGGTGCAGGCCGCTTGGAGAGCGGTGCCCGCCTCAATCTTGGTGCTGAAGGCGTTGGGGTGCGCGCCGTGGTCGAGGAGGAGCGTTGCGATCTCGGCGTGCCCGTTAAGCGCGGCGGCTTGCAGGGGATAGCCCTCGGGCGCGTCCACTCTGGCTCCCCGCGCTAGGAGCATCTGGAGAATGGACATGGTGCCGTCGAAGGCGGAGGCCGTCAGGGCGTTGCCGTACTCCTCGCTGGTGGCGTTGGGGTCGGCTCCGCAGGACCGCGTGAGGAAGTCGACGGTGGCTTCCCGCTGCATATCGGTGGCCATGCACAACGCGTTGTTGATAGCCTCTTGGTGGATTACGTTGTAGTATTGGTGGTAAGCCCAGAGCTCGGTCACAACGGCGTCATGTCCCGCGTAGGCAGCTAACTCCAGTGCCCTGCCACAAGGCAAACCCCCGGAACCGCGAAGAATGACGACGACAACGCTATGAAACCCAGCAGATGCTGCCTCCTCAAGGGCGCGCTGATGCGAGGCAGGGTCCTGGTCAAGCGAGAGCAAGGTCTGGGCGATATTGGGATTTCCCGCCGAGGCCGCGGCAGCCAGGGCGCTGCCGTACTCGTGCGAGGCAAGGTTTGCGCCACCACCGGCCTCCAGGAGCTTGCCTAGCAGATTCTCAGCACCGCGGAGGGCGGCGGCGGCAATGGGAGGCTCCGAATCATCCGCTGCTAGCGTGGCGTCGGCACCGTATGCTAGCAATGTCTCGGCTGCCTTGTACTGCCGCCCCAAGATGGCCAACGTCAACGCCGTTCCCACCTCCTTTGCAATGGCGTTGATTTGTGCGGGGCGGCGCTGGTGGGCGCTCAGGAGGTGAGTGATGACCTCGGCTTGCCCGGAAGAGGCAGCCATATGCAGCGGCGTCCAGTCGCCCGTGGCGATGCCGTCGTCAATATCGGCCCCCTCCTGCAGCAGCCTCTCGCAGACATGGACATGGCCCCGGTCGGCGGCCCAGTGAAGGGGCTGGTTTGCCCACGTGTCGTGGGCATGCATTTCGTGGGCGTGTCCGCTCTTCAGAAGCGAGTCGACGAGAGGAAGCAAGCCGAAGTAGGCCGCGATGTGGAGGGCTGTCATGTCTCTGTGGTCTACATAGTCCTCCTTCCTCGCGTATTCACCCCACCATTTCTGGCGGACAGCAGAGTCCAGGGACCAGAATCCGTGATTGGTGTCGAGGGTCTCGACAAAGTCTGGCGTTGCGCTGTAGCCGTGCTGCAACCAATACTTGAGGGGGTATGCGAGGACATCCAGCTCCTCCTCGTCATCAACCGCGGTAGTTTCGCTATCCTCGTCTTCAGGGAAAAGGTCGTCGAGCTCGGCGTCTGCTTGGTCTTCGGCTGACAGCGCTGTTCTCTGGAGCGTGAGACTCGAGTCATCGCCTGGCAACCCGAGCCTGCCGAGCATATATGTGAAGCACCGAAGGCCGATAATGCCATGTTGCCAGCGGACTTCGGTCTCGCTAGCTTCGTCATCGCCGGCAAGGCCTATCAGCTTCTTCATGTCATGAGTAAGCAGAGCATCCCTGGCCATGGGGTGGATGAAGGCGACTCTGGTCGAAAACTGATAGCCGCTCTCTTCCCACGACTCGGTATCGTACGTTCGGAGAAGTGGCCCACAGGCACGGATCTTGGCTAGCACCTTGTCGCCGAACTCGCCGTCGTCGGGATCGAGATCCAGCCCTGCGAGGACGGAAAGTTCGTATGTCGTCGGCTCTTCAAAGGTGATGGCAAGGGTACGCAGGATCTCCTTGGTATTCTCGATGTCTTCTTTGTCCTCTTTCAGCTCCTGAGCCCACGTGCGGTTAATCAGAACCAGAGGGTCCTGGGGCAGGGATTCCAACAACTTGCGCACCACGCTGAAATCCGGCGGGATACCCTGCAACAACCGGCATACCACCTCCACCCATATGCTGTTGCTCTCGGATCTCTTCTCGAGGCTGCTGAAAACAAAGTACTGCAGGGCTAGGCTATACCCCTTGCTGTCGGCGAGCTCCTTGACCCTGCCGCGTGTGAAGGACCGTATCTGCTCGCGGCGGACGGAGCTCATGGACGAGCCGTTCAAGTTGATCCACAGTGTCGGGCCACCGTCGACCAGCAGAGGGTCCCTCAAGTATGCGCGGTCTCGACTAAGGAACATCCAGCGCACCTTTTCGCGGATCGGGTCATCCGTTCCCTCCGCGGTCGCCAGCGTCTCTGAGATGTTGCGCAGGAACTCATGGGTGCTTTCAAGGTCGGGAGAGAGGTAGTGCAGATTGTTGACCACCAAATACACATCGTGCACCGAGGGATCGCGAAGCATGTCAGCCAGACCTTTCCATAGCCTCGACATCCCAAACTGCTCCTCAGCCCCCTGGCCGCTTCCCTTTAGGAGCTTGGAGTCCTGAGCGGCAAAGGACCTGACGTATTGCGCGAGCGAGCGCCGGCCGAGGATGAGCTGCCACATGAGCGACTTGAGCACGTTCTCGGGCCTTGCTGCAGTCAGGGGTGGCATCGCAGAAGAAGTAGGCCACCATGACATTCCTCGAGCCCCCCACGTCATTCTCAGCCTCCCGCTTCTGCAGTTGCTGGATCACCTCCGCGGCCGCCTTGGACTTGCCCAGGCCCTCGTCCCCGGATACCCACAAACATGGTGCTTCCGGAGCGCGGGTACCATCGCTGACCTGCGTGGACCAGCCCAGGTATTTGTCTTCTTTCAGAATCCAGCCGGAGTCGCCGCTCAGGGCCTTGACGCTCTGCAGCTGGCGTTGGAACCCGACCAAGTTCAGGCTCTGGGAGATGCGGGAAAAGGTGGCGTCGTCGACGGCCGACTGGCGGGACGCCTTGAGCCTGGCCCTGACGATCTTGTGCGCGTCCTTGACCATGTCCTTCAGGTGATGGCGCACGATTTCGTAGCGGCCGTCCTTGGGGTTATCGAAGCGGTTTAGTTGTCGGTAGTTGCAAGGCATGCCCGGTCGGCTGCGCCGTTTAGTGTG